TATATATATATATATATATAGAAAACTGCTTATCTCTCCACTCCACTAATGAATTTCCCTGACTCTCTTCTAATAAACCTGACATAGCCATTCCATATTCTTGAATGCTTTCTTATCTTTTTGAGAAATTATGTTTTCAACTACCACTAATATCCATTGACTCCATCTCCCAAGACTCTGAAGAAATTTCTCATTGAAAGAAGGGAAATCTTTAAAGTCATGCAAAGTAAACACATAGTCCAGCTGTCCGTGGTTGTGCTCGGTCATGTCCAACTCTTTGCAACCCTGTGGATAGAAGCCCGCCAGGCTCCTCTCTTCATGGGATTTTTAAAGGCAAGAATACTGAAGTGGGTTGCCATTTCCTCCTCCAGGGAATCTTCCCAACCCAGGGATCAAACCCACATCTCCTGTGTCTCCTGAATTGCTGGCAGATTTCCTACTTGTTGAGCCATCTGAAAAGACCTGACCAATAGTAGGTGTACTCATATGCACACCCAAACACTACCATGAATCATTTAAAGTAGTCTAATTCCCATTCACTAACTCATTGAATATCATCTTGGAGAGACTGGAATTGACTGGGATTGTAGGCTCTGGAACTGATCACTGGGATTTTAATCCTGTCTCCATCATTTACCATGCATATAACATTATGCAAGTTATTTGACTTTTACTGCTTTATTTCTTTATATGCAGAATGGGACTAGAAAATAAAACAGCTATCTCCCTGGTAAGAAGTGAACATTAAATGAGTTTAGGCATATTCTGGTACATAAAGAGTAATCAATAATCTAGATTTTTTTTCCAATTGCTAGAAGAAAGGAAGTTTTCTCATCTTGTGTACATATTGTCCTATGCACTACTTACCTTCAAGATTTGAAAGGTTTAACTCATATATACCTTTAATGAAGAAATTAATTAAGCAACAGAATGGCAGGGGGTGGAATTGAGAAATAATGACTAAGATTGAGAAAACAGTGAATTTAACACTTAATGTGGGAGATGCTGTCCTAGAATCAGTGGCATTCACTGAGTGATCACTTTATGGAGTTGGGGTAGCTCAATTTCTTTGTAGAATGTACCCTGGCATTTAGTATTGGGAATCATTCTCTTTCCTTCCTCTTGAAATGGTCACAAAATGATACATTTTAATAGCAAATATGATATGCTTAACACACTCCTTCACTTTCATTTATTTTTTCCCACATAAAGATCACAGCTGTTCACAAAGGCATGGAATTATGTAAGAGAGGCCATGGTGAACAAATTCAAAGATGAATGACTTGTTGTCTAACTAAAGTAAGGATTGCATGGGTGAGTTGGCCCCCACTGGGTGAGGGCAATCACTTTACCAGTTATGAAAAATCGATTCAGAAGCTGCTTTGTTCAATACAAAAATGTGCACACACATACACACTTACAAGTGAATAACCATTGGCCTTTAGTAAGGCAGCATAATTCCAGTTCTAATTACAGTGAAGGAAAGTATCACGATGGAAACAAGATTATTGTAATGATTGTTCCAGTTTACACAGGGAGATAGATGGATAATTCTGGAAAGGAAATCTTTTGGGGAAAACAGTTGTGTTGGGATTGGATTCTATATAACAGGCACAACTAGAAATAAAATTAATGTGAGAAATTAAAACATGTTATTTTTTGGTCAGTAAGGAAATAAAAGTTAATTAGAATCCCTGGCAAAAGCAAAAGCTTTTTCATTAAGTCATGGTTCAAATATGAAGCACACTGAAACATGCCTTTATTATAGAAATGGATAGAAAGTAGGAAAAATAGTGATTTGACTTTGATGATAATAATGGCCTCCTTCATGCAGCACACGGTCTGTAGAGTAATGGCTCCAAGGCTGGGGAAACACATGACCAGGGGTACGCAAGACAATCCAGTGACTGCAGAAAGTTTGTTAGAAGATTTTTCTTCTTATTTTAAAATATACTTTTCTATATTTTTGATACACGTATAGTACAGTACTTCACACAGAAATCCATGTGAAATATGTAAAAAAATATTTATTGGAGTTGTTGCTCTACAGTTATTTCCTTATAGGATCACATAATGAAAAAGGTTTGGGGAGTAATAATGTAACAAAATGACATCATTGTTTATTATTTGGCTTTTCAGTAAAGGGTATTGATACAATCACAATATAGCATGGCTTATAGTTTATTAAGTTTTGTAATTGAGTTATTAGAATGAAATTATGGTCACCACTAGAGATTGAGGCTGAGATGAGTGGTGGGTGCCTTGGGACCAGGTAAAAGACTGCTGTTTTTCATTATAAGCTCTTATGCACTGTATTAGTCCCATCGTGTTTGTGCATCACTTAGGTATTTCAAGGAAAACTGTTGTTTACTTTTCCTTGAGTTGAGTTTAAAGCTGGCTTCTGTGCTGTGATGGTGACACGTGCGGCATATATAATTAATGTGGTGTCTGCATCACGGAGTTAGGCAATTACTCTGACTTAGTGCCTGAACAACACATTTCCCAGCTAGTCCATTCACTGCAATAATTCAAAATATTTGTTAGAAATATACATTTCCAATCCCCTCTTGTGAAGATATTCCAATCCCCCCTCTTGTGGGGCCTAAATAAGTTTGGTAGGTAATCTTCTGATGGGAAAAACTGGGAAAACATTTCTTCTGAATGCACTTAATGAATTTTTAATGGAAGCCTGAAATTGTTATTTTGACAAATTTTCTGTGGCATGCATGATGCCTATCTAGATTTTTTTGACAGTTAAATTTAAAATTAACATGATACTTTTAATTATACATGTCATATTCAAAGTATGTAATGAATAATAGATAAGTAGTAGATATGCTTTATTGTTTCATTTTTTTGTTTTATTTACATCTTATTCCAAACTCAGCCAATGTAATGCTTCTCTCCACCTACACACCAATTTTTTGATGCTTCTCTTCAAATATAGTTAGCATCCAAGGAACAAACAACTTATTCTTACTGTTGCTTCTCTCATCCTTATTATTAGATCCTGTTTCCCGTCTTTCATCTTCACCCTTCAGAGTTCTGCTCACTTGTACCTTCTGATGGGATACACTGACTCTATTCATAAGCCAGTAATCGGCACTTGAACAGGAAATATATTAAGTGTCAATCCCTCTTCATAGAGCAGTGCTTCTTAATCCTGGTTGCACATTATAATCATATAAGGGACGTATAGGGTTTTAACACACTTCAGTCCTGGTGAAGAAGAGCTTCTTTGAGTAGGATATGGACATCAGCATGTTTAACATAAGACTGATAACTCTTATTTACAGATGAGAAAACTCAGGATCAGATAGACCAAGTGGTTTCCTCAAGATTATATTGAAACTAAATGATGCTATGACTCTAATTTACCTCTTTTACCCTAACCTATATTCTCCCTTCTGTGTCTTTAAAACCTGAACAAAATATCATCTATTATTTATTCCATCAATGATTCTAGTAAGATTTTCCTTTTAACTTGTCATTACACACACACACACACACACACACACACACACACACACACACCCCACATGTGAAAGAGATACCAACATGCACAAGTCTTCTCTATTCTGGAATAAAAATATTTTGTAACTGTCACTTGAATTTATTTATGTTGCTCTGCTATCCCATCTCTTTTTTTCACATCTGTTAGAAAATCTCTGGAAGGAACATTTTATGCCTGATTACGCATTTCCATTGTCATTGCATGGTATTTACCTTCTGAAAGGTTACCAGCACTAAACCTTCTGTTAAGCAAAGATAATTTGAGTGCCTGATATTTTATTGGCACTGGAGATAAACACTGAATTAATATTTCTAGCTCCTCCAAGAAGTTTATGGTAAGAAAAAGAGAGAGATCGATAATATTATATATGATAATAGATGTTTTAGGAGTAAATGAAGGAGTAAATGAAGGCATGCCCATTCAAGGAAGTTTATCCAAGGAATGTGATGCCTGAGTTATCTTGCTTTGCAACTAGGAGTTGTTGAAGAAGGGTGAAGAGGGTCAGAAAGGGCATAAAGCAGAGAGGTTGTATAAACTGAATATATTTGGTCAAGTCCCATGCGAAAGAATAAGGGCATAACAGACTTAGTGAGCTACAAGTGTTGCTATAATCCCAGAAATAGTGATATATAGCTGAGATTCTACATCTTTAGGGATAGTGAAGGTCATGATCACTTTTATTAGCTAAGAATTTGGAATTTTGGCAATGTGAAATTGGCCCCAGGTCTTTATTTCTTTATAGATTAAATTTACAGGTTTCCTTATAGGTTAATATTATGTACCAGGCCTGGCACTTAGTACATGCATGCACAGTATTGTTCATAAATAGTTTATGCCATTATATAGTAGCAAGGGAAGCAGTGTGTGAAGATTTGAAAGAAATGTAGGAAAGAAACATTGAGGCCAATTAGTAATTTACTGCCTTGGTAAACAAAAAGTGGTTAAAAATTTTCAAGTAATAATGGAGAGTAATGGGGGTTAAAAGAAGGCACTTGAACCTACTTTGGATGGGGTTATATATATTTAAGAAAAATTAAATAATTTTAATCAATTCTTTATTATAATTAAGAAAAATTAAATTAATGAATATTTGAATAGTAGACCCGTTTTTATAATGTACTTGGATCTTTAAACAAAAATAAGCACTTATAATTCCCTTAATTTAATCATAGTTTGCATAGTTAAAGCTTGACAGTGTAATAGTTAATCATTCCATAATGCTTCTCCTCAGTATTGTGAAACCTTTTATGCTTTTAGAACTCTTTTGTGCTTTTAGAATATAGGAACATTGATATTGTATTCTGCTTCTTACCTGGATCAATTGCATGTCCATCATAAATTACTGATGCATGGAATAAAGTAATTTACAATTATTATTCAGTGCTAAATTTATATTCATATAAATAAATATATAGATAGATGTTGACATTACCAGTGATCATTATAATTCCTTATAGGATTACTACTTTGTCATTAACAAACTCACTATACTAGGGTCATTTATTCAACAAGAAACCTGACAACTGATTAAAATGATTGTCTTATTTACCCTATTATCATGTATTAAGCAAATATTTATGCTGAACATTTCCTCATAGTGTCATAGAATTTTGCTTATCAATATTAAAGCTTTACTCAGGCATATCCAAGGCACTGGTCACTATTACACTGTCTCCAGGACAGCTAGAAAGAGTGAGTACTGTTGCCTTTCTACTGACTCCTTAACAAAAGCAATAGACTTAGGAAAATCACAATTAGGTAACATCTCCTCTAAACTGTAGGTCATTGTAGACATTGATAGGTGCTGTTTCAATGGAATGTTAGAGAACAAACCTTTAGGATGAAGGAGTAGATATTTGGCATCAGGAAATTGTACATAGCTAAAATAAATAAATCTTTCAATGGTCTTATTATTAATAACAGATATGGAGTGGTTACTCAAGGGAAAATGGAGTCAAGGGAAGCATTTTGAAAGTAGAGTATTATAAGTCATGTCAGGCAATGTGAATGATCTAAGAGGAAGAGATGGAGGGAGGTATAAAGTAAGAAAGTAAAAGAGAGAGAATTTTTTCTTGTGAGAATATTGGAGTCATAGGTACTGAAAACATAAGTGGAAGGATTGGCCTTAGAGAGGAGCAGGGAGATTTGTGGAGTTGAAAGAAGTCAGGCCGTGTAGTACTGATGCAGGCAGTTTTGTGGAGTTGTTTCTGGAAGTCTGAGAGAGTTTGCAAATATAATAGTGTCTTTTTTGTTTATGAAATGTGATGAGATTTCACAGTTCATTGTGAAAAGAGATGCAAGTATTGGAGATTTGAGAAAGCAGGAAAGCTCTGAAACTGTCATCACTGAAAATGGTAAAGTGAATTTATTAGGGATACATAGACAGTTATGACTGTATTGAGCTACCATTTGAAATCATGATCATAAATCTGAATTGAGTCCAGAATGCATATTTTTACTTTTTTCAATAGGAACATAGTGCTGTTTAGGTGGTTATAGAGCAGACAATAATTGGATTTAATCAGAAGTGAAGTTTGTTTTTTTTTCCCCCTTAAGTGAGTTTGAAGGAGGCCAGCAAATGTTAAGTGTTTACAAAAAGAGCAATAATTCTGGACAATGGGTCCAAGTCACATATGAAGAAAAATAATGTTTGAGAGTAGTAATAAATAAAGAAAAAGTAGTAGGGCCATCAGCATGGAGGATTTTAGATAAATAGGGAAATGCCTAAATATTTTTGATTAAGTTTATGTAAATACCAGAGTGGGATAGTTGTCATCTAGATTTCCTAATTTGTTACAATTGTTAATGATGACAAAGTCCTGAAGGTAACCATGAGAGTGGTTACCTGGAATAAGGACAAAGAATAGGGGTAGAGGAGTTAAAAGGACTGATCAGGCATGACATTGGTGGGTCATTTTTGTGGAAGTCAGTATGCCATGAAATATACCTTGAGCAGTGCTGGAAATAAACCCAATAAAGTCATTGATGAATTTGAGGATAACAGTAACAATAATTAATTCCTGTTAAAATATGGTGAAAGTGAAGCTGCTCAGTTGTGTCTGACTCTTTGCAACCCCATGGACTGTAGCCTACCAGGCTCCTCTATCCATGGTATTTTCCAGGCAAGAGTACTGGAGNAAAGGCAAAAAAAAAAAAAAAGGGAAAGCTGGTTCAGTTGGAGAGAAAGCTTGTGAAAAGACTTTTAGTTTGTAACATCATACTTAATGTCAAGTGCAACCTCCGCTCCACTGTTCTTCAGGAATAAAATGATGCATATTCTTCATGTGAATCCCAGTGGTAATTCTTCCAAAGCTTTTCCTCTGACTGGTCTAGCTCACAAAGACCTCACTATTCTCTGAATACCTATGAAGCTTATTATATGCATGTTGTACATGTGCTCAGTAGCTCAGTCATATCTGACTCTGCAAACCCATGGACTGTAACCCACCAGGGTTCTCTGTCCATGAAATTTTCCAGATGAGGACACTGGATTGGTTGCCATTTCCTACTCTAGAGGACCTTCCTAACCCAGTCACTGAACCTGAGTCTCTTGTTTCTCCTGCACTGGCAGGCTGATTCTTTACCACTGCATCAATTGTATGCATGTTGGCAGGAATTAATAAACTGCCATACATTATCCCCTAAAATATTTTACTCATATTTTTTTCCCATATGGAACAGGTTCTTGGTGAATGAAGACCATGTTTTATACTTCTGTAAATTCTTCCAAGTAATCTGCAGTTAAGGTTTCCATAAATGACCATTGAATAAATCTCATTTATTACACTAATTTAAGTGGAAATCGCTTTGGTATTAACTGGAAAGTATCTTAATTTATCCAAGTCATTGAGCCAAATATAATTTTACATAAAAATTAGTTCTGTAATTCACTAAAACCTTATTCTTTAGTTTTAATGTTTTACCTCTAATTTGAAGTAAATATATGCTAAATGAATATTTCAGTGGAAGAACCACTATAAAACAGTTTGTCCTGTGGCACATATTTGTTTGAATATCTGAGTTGTATGAGATATCCTTAGCTATACTGAAGTCACTCTGTCGTGTCCGACTCTTTGCGACCCCATAGACTGTAGCCCACAAGGCTCCTCCATCCATGAAATTTTCTAGGCAAGAGTACTATCAGTTGCCATTTCCTTCTCCAGGGGATCTTCCTGACCTGGGGATCGAACCCAGGTCTCCCGCATTGTGGGCAGACGCTTTACTGTCTGAGCCACCAAGGAATCCCATCCTTAGTAATAACTCCCCAAATTATCTGTGTAACCTAATTTAACTTTTTCTGAAGGGAAGACTTTAGAAAAGAAGCAAAGAGTGATAGAAATTTGAAAGCCACCTCACCAACGTACACAGTCAATTTATTCTTCCATAGATATATCAGCATTAGAATATTATTATCCTTATCACTATATCAAGAAGTCAGTAACTTGAAATGGAGTATTAGCTTGTTTCTCCTTCAATTTCTGTTTCCATAAACTCTTTCATTACTTTTTATGAGTTACCATTCACTGTAATTTATTTATTTTGAAGTACTTTTTATTGTCTGGATGCTATTAAAAAATGAAAATGTAGCTATTATAATATCTATGACATGGTGTTTCTCTTTGCCCTTACCTGATGATTTCCAGGCAGCAAATCTGCCTTTGTGTTTGGTTTGGGATCGTTATTCAATAACTTTCCATGCCTATAAAAGACATTAAAGAAATAATGGGAATATTTGTTTTCATCTTTATTACAAATATATATCTTTATTTTTAGTGCTTATATGCATAAGTAATAAATAATTCATCAGTTCAGTCTCTCAGTCATGTCTGGTTTTTTTTTAGTGTTTTTTTTTTTTCATTTATTTTTATTAGTTGGAGGCTAATTACTTTACAATATTGTAGTGGTTTTTGTCATACATTGACATGAATTAGCCATGGATTTACATGTATTCCCCATCCCGATCCCCGCTCCCACCTCCCTCTCGACCTAATCCCTTTGGCTCTTCCCAGTGCACCAGGTCCGAGCACTTGTTTCATGCATCCAACCTGGGCTGGTGATCTGTCTCACCCTAGATAATATACATGTTTCGATGCTGTTCTCTTGAAACATCCCANGTTGCACCGGTCCTTTCTGAAGCGGTTCCCTTTGTTTATTTGGCTTCTGTTTGCTGTCTCTTCGGTGTCTAATTTCCGCCCTGACACAGGTGGGTGGAGGTGATCTCTTATTTAGGTTCGCTAGTTCAGTTCAGTCCTGCTACGGGGAGGGCGGGGCGCTGCAGACAGATACCGCTCTGTGTGGATAGCACTCACCGTGTTCCGGCCACACTGGCTTTGCCCCGCTCACAGGTGTCTGTGCTTTCCCCGTCTACACTGCTCAGGCTCCCGGCTGCTCTTTTTGGAGTGGGCCCTGCGTTGAGTGCGGTTCCAGTTTTAGGGTACTCCACAAAAGCGCAGATTCGGTTGTGCCTGCGTTTTGTGCCTTCCGCGGCCTGAGCGGCTCTGGCAGCCAGGGGCTTGGGCGCACTCTCCCCGGGTACAGCGCGCCTTTTCCCTCCACGGCCCCAGCGCGCAGGTCGGCTGCCTGCGGCTTGTGTTTGTTCTCAGAAGCTGGCCTCTAGCCGCGACCCTCCCAGCGGCGGATGTCGACCATCCAGAATCTCAGGAAGTCTTTAGATAGAAACCGGAGGCCTGTTTGCCGTGTGGGAGGGGTGGCTTCTCAGGGGTTGAGTTTGCCTTTTTCCCCTCCCCCCTGCCTCCAGCGGGGATGGGCCGGCTCTTCTCTGGAGTTCCTCAGTCCCTTTGTTTTGCGAACGGCCGGCAGTGTGTTCGGGCCGGTTAATTTTCTCCCTTGCTATCCCACAGTTTAAAAGAGCTCCCTCCGATTGCTCTCAGGGCCTTCAGGCCTGGTCCTTACCCTAAGCAATGCCGCCCGCTCCTCTCCGTTCCGTCCCCACTTGTTGGTGGCAGGTGCAGGCGTCTGGGGTACTTTTCTGCTGGGAGTTGCTTTTAGGCACGTAATCTGTGGGCCTTATTTAATTTTTCCTCCCAGTTAGGTTGCCCTCCAAGATTCGAAAACTTCCCCCAGGCCCACAAGTGCGAGGGTTTCCTGGTGATTGGAAACTTCCTCTATTAAGACTCCCTTCCTGGGACGGGTCTCTGTCCCTAGCTCTTTTGTCTCCCTTTTTATCTTTTATATTTTGTCCTACCTCCTTTCGAAGACAATAGGTTGCTTTTCTGGGCGCCTGATGTCCTCTGCTAATGATCAGAAGTTGTTTTGTGAAGTTTGCTCTGCTTTGAAGTGTTCTTTCAATGAATTTGTAGGGGAGAAAGTGGTCTCCCCGTCCTACTCCTCCGCCATCTTGGCTCCTCCTCCTTTGTCCGATTCTTTCAACGACATGGAATGCAGCACACCAGGCCTCCCTGTCCATAACCAACTCCCGGAGCTTGCTCAAACTCATGTTCATTGAGTCGGTGATGCCATCCGACCATCTCATCCTCTGTTGTCCCCTTCTTGCACCTTCAAACTTTCCCAGCAACAGGGTCTTTTCCAATGAGTCAGTTCTTCGCATCAGGTGGCCAAGGTATTGAAGCTTCAGCTTCAGCATCAGTCCTTCCAATGAATGTTCATGACTGATCTCCTTCAGGATGGACTGGTTGGACTTCCTTGCAGTCCAAGGGACTCTCAAGAGTCTTCTCCAACACCATAGTTCAAAAGCATCATTTTTTCAGCTCTCAGATTTCCTTATGGTCCAACTCTCACATCCATACATGACTACTGGAAAAACCATAGCTTTGATTACACAGACCTTTGTTGACAAAGTAATGTCTCTACTTTTTAATCTATTGTCTAGGTTTGTCACTGCTTTTCTTCCAAGAAGCAAGCATCTTTTAATTCCATAGCTGCAGTCACCATCTGCAGTGATTTTGGAGCCCAAGAAAATAGTCTCTCACTGTTTCCATTGTTTCCCCATTTGTTTGCCATGAAGTGATGGGACCAAATGCCATGATGTTANTCAAAGGCTTTCGCATAGTCAATACAGCAGAAATAGATATTTTTTCTGGAACACTCTTGCTTTTTTGATGATCCAGCAGATGTTGGCAAACTGATCTCTGGTTCCTCTGCCTTTTCTAAAACCAGTTTGAACTTCTGGAAGCTCACGGTTCATGTATGGCTGAAGCCTGGCTTGGAGAATATTGAGCATTACTTTACTAGTGTGTGAGATGAGTGCAATTGTGTGGTAGTTTGAGCATTCTTTGGGATTGCCATTCTTTGGGATTGGAATGAAAACTGACCTTTTCTAGTCCTGTGGCCACTGCTGTTTTCCAAATTTGTTGGTATATTGAGTGCAGCACTTTAACAACATCATTAGTTTACATTTATAAATTAGTAATCAAGCACTATATAATGTTATATTTAAGTAAGACTTTAATTGGCCCTTGATAACCTCCCATGTGTAATAAATCATAATCATTTATGTTTTATAATGTTTACAATCATTTATAAATATTATAAAAACATTTATAATCATTTATGTAAAGATTAATGAAAGTTTAATTATTAATAAGTTTCAGATAGTATCTCTTATTCCAGAGAGAGATGGATGGATCTTGATACTTTCTAAGACCAAAATTTATATATAACATCTTACATTCTTGAAAAAAGTACATATTTTTTATTCCTGTGGCATTTATGGCTCCTCAGCATTAAACAAACAAGTTCAATTGAAAATAGTTATAATATTATGCAATTGGCAATTTAGAATACCTGTAGTAGATCTTAGTGCTCATCTGTAAATCTGATTTTCCTTTCTGCTTGTCCTATGCCTGCAATATTATTAGATAGTCAGTAAATACTATTAAATGAATATACAGTTACTTTAAAATACTTTGATAAAATACTTATAGGTGAAATTAAATCATTAAAATGCAAATCACCATTTTATGCTCTAGACTGGAAATTTAATGACGCATAAAAAATGCAAATCTTAAAGCCTAAATTTTCTTTTTTAAGGCATCAAATTGACTTTTACCTTGGTACTTGCCCATATTCCTTAATAGTGAAATCTGGTTGGATCTGTTGATGTTTGTAACAGTGGGGAAAGAATTTTGAGCAGGCGGAAATACTATAGATAAAGGAACAAGAAAAAATAAAAATTAAAAAAAACGACCAAGTGCCTACTTTGTAATCAAAGTTGTCAGATTATCAAAATCAATTATCTGCTTTGATATTAATCAAACAGCATTGAGCTTCTCAATTAACACCGTGCATGCATGCATGCACATGCAGACACATACACACAGTGTAATGTAAACAAAATGCCAATAAGTATTCCTTTTGTATATGAAAGTGAAAATAATATCCTTAAACCATTCTGATAAAATTTCCATGAGAAAATATAAGCTCCTTAAATGATAAAGATATTTCAGATTGCTTTGCCATTTCTGCAGTGAGAGGGAGAAAAAACAACAACTGTGAATATGGTAGACGGCATTGTAATACTTGGAGAGATGTTTCTAGTTTAAAAGATGCTATGTTGTAGCAGTATAGTTGGCCATTCTCCTCTTGTTGATAGCACATCTTCACTTCTTTTTATATGATAGAGGATTTCAGATCAGAAATCTATTACATAAAGGGAAATGGATGAAGAACACTTTTAAACCCACTTATTACATTTCTTAGTTTACTGTTTTTTCAGACAAATGGCTTTTAGTTTGAATAGTTTGATTGATGTCTTAAGGAAAAGAGTATAATTTTTGGAACCAGAAGATCTTTGTTAGCATCTTATCAGTCCAGTTCAGTGACTCAGTTGTGTCTGACTCTTTGCGACCCCATGAACTGCAGCACGCCAAGCCTCCCTGTCCATCACCAACTCCCGGAGCTTACTCAAACACATGTCCATTGAGTCAGTGATGCCATCCAACCATCTCATCCTCTGTCGTCCCCTTCTCCTCTCACCTTCAATCTTTCCCAGCATCAGGGTCTTTTCAAATGAGTCAGTT